CACACACACATTTACCTACGTACATACATGCACACACAAATGTAGACAAATAGAGAGAGAGAGAGAGAGAGAGAGAGAGAGAAAGAGAGAGAGAAAGATAGAGAGAGAGAGAAAGAGTGAGTGAGAGAAAGAAAGACAGAAAGACCGGCTGACAGGCAGACAGGCAGACAGGCAGACAGACGCACAGACACACAGACAGGCAAGCAGACAGACACAAAAACAGAAAGACACACAGAGAATCCAAACCCATTTACACTGAATAAAAGAACCCTCTATTCCAGCAGTTGCACTTTTCCCAATGCCGCAATTGGAATTCATGGAACTTTCTACCCAGAGAAAAGGTCGCACGTTCGATATTCGATTGTACGGCGGAGTCTGCCTCTGTTTTCGCAGTTACGAATAACAAATAAGGTTCTAAAGAACCTCTGGCTGTGGGGGAGAATTGCCTCGCTTATTTCGTTTGCTGTGTTTTTTGGTGGATATTCGTTTCCAAATGAGTGTAAAGAGTGGAATTTATTATGGTATCATGTCTCAGTCTCACCCCATCATACCCCCCCCCCAAAAAAAAAAAGCCGCTCTCACGCTTCCTCGCCCATCCCAAAAACAAAGAGTGAAGGAGCGCAACTTTTATTTCTGGTATTATCAATGTCGGGATCGCTTTGCTTGCTGCAATTTTCATTGAGAGGACACTGGAAGAGCTATCGCGATGCCGTCTTGCCGACAGCGTCCAATAATCATGAAATTTTACATGTATCGATAGCAGAATTTTCTTCTTCGTCTAGTCTTGGTATAATTTGTTTAATTTAACACCTCATACTGAACATCAATAGGTACGTCACTACATGGTCCAGCAGTTTGTATGATTTTTAAAAGTCGCAGAATACTGGTTATGAATGAAGTAAGGCAAAGAAGTAACTCCTAGGTTAGTTGCGCTTATTATTTCTACAAGTATTTGCTTAGTAATATTTATTCACGAAATTTCACATTGAGACGTTTTGTACTCCTGCCGGTATGCAGCACTTTCATTTTATTACTTTCCCAATCCACTTGTGTTTTGCAAATACATATTCACCCTTTCCAGCAATACTGCACTTTGCATAAAAAGAGGACAAGCTCTTTGTACCCGTCGAAGGATCACCCATCCAGCTTATTGTATACCGTTTCTTTCCCTGTGTTGTCAGACATTTTTTTTAAAGTTATAAAGGTAAAATGTAAAAATAAAAAGTAGCTTGAAATGTTGGCCAGGGCCAGTCTTTGGAAGTATATTCTGTTACCTGTATAGGTACCTGAACGAGCTTTATTTGTTATCTCTGCTCACGGATGCATAAGACTGGGTTGGTTTTTTCTGAATTCGGATGTTACCATACATAAGAGGGGCATGCCAAAAGTTATTTACCTGACCATGAAGGAATAAAGGTAGAACGCTGAAATTTTGGGTGAAAGCCAACAATCTTCCTAGAATGCATGTAAATATTGGAGAATTTCCAATCACTGGTTGTATCACCAGCGCTGTATAAGTGAATGGGATTGTGTTGTTCCCCAGTTTCAACATAAAAACCGAGAAAAGTGAGCACAGGGCAGTAATGAAGTTTTTGTTCCAGCAAGGCAAGCAACTACAGGATATGTTTACTTACTCGTAGATGCATACCGTAGATAGAACGAATTGTCTATCCTAGCCTGCGATAAGGTTTTGGTGAAAAAAATGCATATGAATATTCATGGACATCTAAGATAACCACCGTGATGGTCGCCCAGTGACATCAACAACAGAAGATAACGATTGAAAATCAAGAAAAACCTCTGTTTTCTGATAGGCGGGTGACAGTCGAACAAGGGAGCAAAGAAACTAGGCTTAGCATTAAATCAGTTTAATGAATCTTAAATAAACATTTGAACATGACCAAGGTTTCAGCGAGACGGGTCCCACGTTTCTTGACCCCTTCTCAAAAAGTGCAGCAGAAGGATTGTGTCTCAAGAATTGCTTGGTCTGTATGAAAAGGATGAAACAAAAGACTTGTAGCTATGGATAAGACATGGGTCCGCCTCTACGATCCTGTGTCAAAATCTGCATCATAGCAGAGGAAATCGCCCTCGTCTCCAACATAAAAGAAGGAAAAGGTATAGCCATCAAGGGGAAAAGTGATACACTCAGTTTTTAGGGACCAAGAAGGAGTAATTATGATAGACTATCTTGAAAATTGACATACGATCACATAAGACCATTATTCTAACCAGTTAAAAAATATTTACTAGAGGCTATAAAAGAAAAACGCAGAGGAAAGATCCGAAAAGGCATTTTGCTGCTTCACGACAACGAACCAGCACATACTTCAAGAAAAGCTGCAGAAACTGCGTGCGAAAGTGGCTAAGAAATTTTGCCACATTCAGCCTATTCTCCAGATTTAGCCCCGTCCGACTTTTTTTAAATTCCCCAACCTGAAAAAGGATTTAAAAGGAATGCATTTTGTAAGTGCTGACGGGGTCAAAGAAGGAGTAGAGGGCTGGTTTTCTAACAAAGAGAGGGTCTTCTATTCTCAAGGTCTTTTCAAGATCATATACCGATGGCAGAAATGTATATCTGTGGGAGGCGACCACATAGGGAAAGAGTAAGCTAAGTAACAAACTTCAGTTTTCTACCTTTATTCCTTCATGGTCAGGTAAAAAAAACTTTTGGTATGCCCTTCGTAACATATGTATTTTCCCGAAAAAATATTTCTTGCACACAAGTAACCATAGCTTTGTGGTCAAGCTCCATCCCCTCAACACCCCCCCTCCCCCCGTGTCTGATTATGCAATTGTTAGATCATCATGCCTGTGGTTTAAAAGTCCTTCCAAATTTAACACACACGTGCAAGAAAAAGGTAAACTACACACCTAAGGACTTGTCTCGAACAAAAAATAATAATATGCTGTTAGCATAATAAGTTGAATCTAAGTTACTGAAGAGAGGGGACTTCCGGATCTAGAGTCCGTATCCGATAGGAACGAGCCAAGTAGACAGAGTGCCTTGAAACTCCCCTAACAACCATTATTAAAAAGTTGCCACTTTGAGGGAATTTTAATCAGGTTCATCCGGCACATCTGCACAACAGCGGAGCTTGGTACTATACTACGAGCTAATGGTGTGCACTGACGTCTTGTGTATATTATGTGTATGTTTGAAAAATACTGACTATTTGCCTACCAGCCGACGATTCTACGTAAAGAATAGGTGTGTGAAATGCAAGGGGGTTAATGGCCAGGAGGGAGGGGGCTGTACACTGAGGTATCGTGCTTTGTTAGTTCATACGGACTCCACACACTATTTTCTTTCTTTTTTTTTTTAGCAACCAACGTAAATGAACCTGGAGACACCTAGAAACAGCCAAGAATTGCGGATATGATGTGGAAGATTCTGCCACTGCCGCATCAAAATAATAGAGAAAACGTTTGGTTGTTGTTTCTTTTTATACAGAGGCAAAGAGAGAGGTTCTCTTTCACTGTCTAAAAAAACAAGACCAAAACGTGTTCAATCTCGTAACAGAACGACGAGAAAAACAAACCGGAAGCATCCTTCTCTTTTTCAGAGGAAATGGTCGACTCTGGGCGTTTTGTCGTGTACTTGTGCGTGTCAATGCTCGCGCGTGTGAGTGTGTGTGCGTGGG